ACTTCCTTGCTAATTTAAAACAAAATTTTTCTTTTGTCCAACTCAAAATCATGTACGCTGAAATGTTGATAGTTGCTTTAAAAACTGTTTAGTTTCATACAGGTGATAAAAATTTATCGTCAAATTTGCGTAACTTCGAACCACCAAAACAATAATTGAAAATTATAGTAAAAATAAAATAATGTAAAAGAGGAACGAATATCATTGTATTTGTATTTTATATTCTGGGATTTTCATATAGGATTTATTCCATGAAATGGACACACTCCAAATGGAAGTTTCAATTTCTGTATACACGTAGATGTGGACACAAACTACGAGGGCGGTTCAATAAGTACCCGTGTTGGACATGAAGACACCTTTTTTTTTAAAATTTGTTTTTTTAATTTTCAACACAGTTCCCTTTCAGAAAGATACACTTCTACCAACGACCCTGCCATTTTTTTTACCCCTCCAAAAAATAATATTTGTCGAACTGTCCAAAATCCCCCCCTGTTTCGCCGATGACTTCCTCGTTTGACCTAAATTTCTTTCTCGCTAGTCATTTCTTCATGGTAGGGAACAAGATGAAGTCGCAGGGAGTCAAATCGGGGTGTGCGGCAGCAAATTCATAACGTAATTCATGCATTTTGGCTGCAACAACTCCTGATGATTGTGCCGGTGCGTTATCGTGTTGAAAACGCACCTTCTTTTTCGTCAAATGCGTCCGTGTCTCCTTCAATTTTTTGTCGAAGCGGTCCAATAACTCACTGTAGTATTGTCCAGTGATCGTTCTTCCTTTTCCTAAAAAATCCGTAAAATGATTTCCTGGTCGCTCCTATCAAAAACGGATCTTTGCCCACGTTTAAATTCGTTGAAGCAATATCTAACTGTGGTCGTAGATGGCGAAATGTCTCCATAAACAGTATCCAACTTTGTTTTCATCTCCTCGCATTTCTTCCCATCCAAAAACAAAAAGCGAGTTACCGAACGATACTGCTCTTTTTCCATCTTAGCGAAAATAACGAAACACGTCTCAGTCGAATGGCTGCCAAATCCAAACTTACCTATCAATCAGTCTGAAATTCGTTTTGACGTGGTTTGATAGATGGCACCAATTTCCTTCAGGAACGTCCTCTGTCTTTAAACACGGGTACTTATTGAACCGCCCTCGTAATTAGAACATCTGATGAAGGACAACGTTATTACATTTTGTTTTATCTAAATGCCAATTTTAAGTACAAGACATATTCGCAGTTTTTATGTACTTGACATGAAACAACGTTACTATACTAAGAGTCTCTAGTAGTTAGATACAGGGTGGATCGTATCAATATCACTTTGATTATTGGCTTTCTCCGAGATGCAGCAAGAAGTTCTTCAGTTTATCGTTTAAAATTTCTTAATTTTCTAGTTCGCCTCACGGAAAAAAACTAAATTTTTATGACAAAGCAAAAATTACAATTTTCGATGGTAAATGACTGAATTTGCCGTAGAAGTGGTAGAATTTATTAGGTAACTTGTAATAATCTCAATTTGGACATGTTTTTTTAAAAATGATTTCAGGTTTCTTAATTATTACAATTAAATTTGTAATATCAACTAAAATACCTAGTCAATTTATTTCTGCTGGGATTTTATTTTTACAAATTCGGGTCCAAATTGTAATTTTTATTATTTTCTCTTACGAAGCAACGGACTAGAGGGATAAATTGTAAATGTGGCTTTAATATATAAGTAAATTTTCGTTTTCCGTTTTCTCCGTGCTTTATTATCACTCAAAAATTTTCAGTTTTCCAAAAAACGGTAATTATCTAATGATTTATAATATCAGCATTTGTGATGAACAGTCTTGCTAATATAGTTTTGGTCTTGGTCTTGCGTGTTAAATCTTAGCTTTGCTGAAGCGTATAGAAACGTATGTACAATACGTTGACCGTGAACTTACATCGCAAAAGAGTTTAGTTTTAATACGTACCAACTTATCACACTTTTTAACCGTAGAATCTTATTATGCCCAAGTTCAGGGCTACCTACCTACACTTTGAGAACACGGTGGGTTTATAAATCCAGCCGCTATGGCCTACGTAGCTTCATCAAGTTGGCGTTGTATGTTGTTTTAACGAGGACAGTTTGTGTAGCATCTTCGTAATCAAGTCGGCTTAATAGCGGCAAATAACGTTTCGAAAACAGGCGGCATTTTCTTTTCTATCTGGAGGTCTCTCTAACGCGATTCATGATAAGGTTGGTTGTGTAGGTATTTAAGTCAGGGCAATATAATAAAACTGATGTCGTTAACTGATCTTGGCATAAAATAAAGGATTTATTGTATAATACAAACGCAATGATTGGGAAAAATTAAAGTGTACCGGATGCGAAGACAGTGATAACCAGCGATTGGCTACTACACTTTTCCTTTGTCTCCTTATTAAGGCAATTATTGCACAATAAATTACGAAGATATGATTTAATAGGTATGCTATTATTGACTCTCACGATACTTGAAGACCAAACGAAGTAACTTTTTAAAAAAAAATCAGTCAAACGCGAGTTTGACATGAACTGAGAGTTCCATACATAATCATATATATTAGGTACAGACTGTGTATATGCAACTAAATGTACACGTCATACGAAGATTTAATGGTAACCATCAGAATTTATGCAACCAACTAGACGTCGGAATTAGACCCACTCACTTTTTTCGATTGTTTTATTTTATCTCGAATTGGGATCCGTCTAATGGGCATACACCATCTGGTGGCAAAATTTATAACTCGAATGAGGGAAAAATTTACATAGGAACTGTGCACGCAAATTGTAAAATTGTTTATTAAAATAATAAAACACGTTAAAAAAGTAAANTTATCGCGTCGAACATGACCGAGCAGAGCGCGAGAACTCCCGAACGCTGTTTCGGTTTCGGTCGTAGTTTCGGCAGGCTTGCCGCCGAAACCGAAACTAAACCGAAACTCGTTTTTTTGCCGAAACTCGACCGAAACCGAACTTTCGGTCGGACACTAGATAAAACAATTGTTGGTCTGCCAGTCTACTCAAGGAACCACTGGGTACCACCCCCCACACCCCATAGAAATTAAAAATGGTGGTACTACAGGGCAGAAATGAAAAAGGAAGCAAGAAAAATCGACTACTGAATAAGAAAGAAAATTCTCTGGCCTTTGCTCCGGCTTTCCCAAATCACAAGTGTCATTTTTCTTAACTACTTCCCATTTACTAAATCGCATCCATTAAATTTAGACAATACCCAGTTCAAAGTTAACTGAAGGATGTCAAAGAGAAAGATACTCTTAGATTACTCTTTTATAAGTAAGAGGAAAACTAAAAGTTTGAAGAACCTAACATATCTAACTCATTCAGAGAGAGAGATCTGCATTATGGACAAGCCCATATGAAAATAAACAAATATTAATGAACATCTTAGAGATTACTTGCATGTTCCAAAGAATTTTAAGAATATCTTTTGAGAAAAAGTGATGATGACACTTACCGTCGTAGAATAGAAAGAGGCTTGATCGGCACCGAGGGCAGGAACGTAGGCTGGCATTCCTTCGGGATAGGGCGCACTATACACCGATAAAGGTGGAAGTCCCGGCACTCCACCGGCTAGTCTTTGGTAGCTAAAAAGTTCGTACTGACACGAGCAAATCGTTAGTCCCGTTATTGGATCGGTATATAGCGGACGACCGGTATCACAGCATCGGTGAGATGTTGGCGGAGTTCCCGGTGTTGGAGCTGAGGAGGTGACTGCCATGCTGCTTGGTGGAGACGCTGTTTGACTAGGTCCAGAAGATATTGTACTCTGCAACAGAAACAAAAACCACTGTTTCAATTCGTAGATTTGACCATGAACTAGTCAATCTTTATGCTCTATACACTCTAAAAAGGTAACTTCTTACCTATTGATCGTTAGAAATTTACGAAATTTTCGAAATTGAATCCTAAGTGGCTGGTTAATTTAAAAATTCGAAAAGGAGTTTTAAAGGTGGGCGGTGGCGGTTAGAAGCGTTCTAACTGTGATGTTACAGGCGAATGATGAGGACGGATATCATGGATAGAGAAAGTTAGAAACAATAGGAGAACGGAGGACTCTATGGAAGTCAACAAGAGGTAGATTTGTAGGACACCTCAGGCAGAGACATATTAGAGGCACAAACAGGAGGGGTAGAGGTAGACCTAGATTAGATTACTGTTCTGAAATAGTTAGGGATGTGGGCTGTTCTAGTTTTAGGGAAATGCGAAGTTTAGCTCAGGATAGGAAAGAGTGGAGGTACGTGTCCAACCAGTCTTAGGACTGACGACCTTATGATGATGAT